GCTCGCCGTACTGTTGGGGGGGAGATGTTCATGTTTCTGCGGTCTGCAGTCTGGACGTTAGATGTTGCTAAAAATTACACACTGTAGCTTTAAGTAGGAAGCCATAACAAAGTATAATTTTCCAACAAGACCAAGCAAAGCCTGGAACGGCACATTTGATAAAATGTTTGAGCCTGAATGTAGTCATAAATTCAGACCTGTTCAGCAAATTATTGTAAAATCCTTTTTTTGTTTTTTTTTATTTTTTTTTATTTAAAATAATTTTTAAGGCTCTAGTGGCCTTTATTTTTCAAAAGTATAGAGGCAGGAAAGTGGGCTAGAAGAGAGGGGAGACATTCATCAAAGGTCAGCAGGGCCGGTACTCGACAGCTGGTATATGTGTCGTGCACTCCACCTTTGTGGTTGCTTGTTTTAGAATCCATCAAAGTCTCAAATAAAGGACAGTCATGAATATAATTGCATGTTCTCTGCATCAGCTGGATGCCCGGCATGGAGGAGGACAAACAGAAAACCGACGTGCACTACAGGTCTCTGGATGGAGACGGCAACTTTAACTGGCGGTTTGTCTTTGGCTTTGACTACCTGCCAGCTGAACAGCTCTGCCTTGTGTCCAAGAAGGTAAGGCAGCCCCATCATGCTGCTATGTTAGTTCATGTTTTTATAAAGAGACCAGTTTTGTTGGATATAACCAAAATGTTTTTTGTTTTTATTTGTTATGCATCAGGAAAACTTTTGGAGTCTTGACAACACAGAGTTCAGGATTCCCCCAAAGCTGATTGTCCAGATATGGGACAACGACAAATTCTCATTGGATGATTACTTGGGTAAAAAACACCAAACTGTTTCATAAGACTAAACTTTTTAAATACATAAGCAGGAGATTATAAAAAAAGGTTTACCTTGTTTTTCCAGGTGTACTGGAACTAGATTTGAGAAAACTCGTCCCTCCTTCCAAGACTCCAGAGAAATGCTCCCTGGACATGATGGACAATCTGGAAACCGGAGAAGCAGGCAAACTACAGACCGCTAATTCCCTGTTTGCTCAGAAGTCGGTCAGAGGATGGTGGCCCTGTTCCATCGAACAAGATGGGAAGAGAGTTTTGGGTGTAAGTATAGGGGTTGAAACTAATTCCACAATAATGATACGTTCAGACCGCAAGCGCTGGTAGCAGCAAAAAAGTTCTGCTGCTTCATTTTTGATGCTCGTAGACATTAAGGTCCGACGCTCAAGTGCATCTTTGACACTCCTGAACCTCATCCATTAAAGTTTCTCCAGATGCATCCTGCGTTCAATGGCAGAGTGCGGCTTTGCTATATTTGCTGTGATCAGTGGTTAAAAAGTAGTTTTAATATGTCTTTAAGTGAGAAAGTTCACCTGTTCAGTCCATGCGGACTAAACATAGCATAAAGCTGGAAAATTCAGATTGCATTAAGGGCTTTGGTTCCAGGAGAAACATAACTCATTTAAATATGGTTCCAACTGTAAAGATAAAACTAGAACCAATAAGGAGTTTGGAAAAGTTTCAATAAAAAGTTCCTAGTTTTGTTTTTACTTGCATTAAAATGGTTCTGTATGAATTAGAGGGAGACCTTAACTTTCCAAAATTATGCATGCATCCAAGTATTAGTAGATCCAGAAAAGATGAGCACTTGTGACCCCTAAAATTTCCATTGTTGCTGAGTCCATTTTGATGAGGCTTGTTTTTGTATTAAAAGGGCAAAGTGGAGATGACGCTGGAGATTGTGAGTGAAGCAGAGGCAGACGAGATACCTGCAGGAAAAGGACGAGACGAACCCAACATGAACCCAAAACTGGACCCTCCCAAGTAAGTCCATTGTACCAAACTATGCTAGGAGATTTGGGATGGTGTTATGAAGAAATTTCAATGTACAGTAAATCCTGCTGTACTGTATATCATCTAACAAACTGTTTTTGCTTTATTCTTTCAAACCAACAGCCGTCCAGAAACTTCTTTCTTCTGGTTTACTAACCCATGCAAGACCATGAAGTTCATTGTGTGGAGGAGGTTCAAATGGGTGTTCTTAGGACTTATCTTTCTCATAATTGTGGTGCTCTTCATCGCCATCCTGTTGTACTCATTACCGGTAAGTATTGATGCGTGAAACACTAAATATTCTTCTTACAAATGTTCTATACCTGTCTCTCCGCCCTCCTTCTAAACCTGCATCTCATTAAAAAGTTGATTTAGTTGAATAATTCACCCAAATTGAGCCCTGAAAAAACATTAAGCAGATATACTAATAATTACATGGATATAATCTTCTATATACAACAACATTGATCTGCATTTGTCCTGTAAAATATTATTTTTGGAGTAACAAGGTTTTGGATTTTCTTTTGCCTCAAGTCAGACTCAACCAGATATAGACACTTGATACATAACAAACAACACTGCATTATAATCTGAGTGGTTGACTTATATAAGGATAATAAAGTATTTCCCATTCTTTAAGATCCACCTATATAGATATATCCCTCTAGATTTGCTTGCATTGCACGCAAAGATGTTTTTCTTTGCCCCTTCTCAACATGAGATAGACAAGAGAAAAGAACATACTATAAAGACAGAGGTATTCAACATCTGTGAACCAATATTTCATTCGGTTTATTTTTTATAGCACTAATTCAAATGTAGTCTCAAAGTACTTTACAAAGACAGATGAAAGAAATGTTAAAGACAAAGAAGATTCACTCCTCCTCAATTAGCATGTGAAAAACAGATTGTTGCTTGTAAGGATTGCTTGACATTGCAGTAATCCTTCAAACCTAGCATCTTACAGCTACTTTGGAGAGGCAGCATTCCCTGTAAACAGGAAGCAACCTCCAGCAGAACCAAACTCTGCAAGCAATTTTCTGCAAAGGCTGACTAGGGGTTCAAGAAGACAGAAGTAGACATGTAACAGGAATATAGAAGTAATCATCCATAAATACTTTCTACATTAGGAATTAAGGGCTGATGGCAGCAGCCCTGCTAATAACTCTCCAGGATGATGTCACAGCCAAACAGCATCAGATCAGATGAGGCTAGTGACAGTAAAAGGCAGAGAGATCATAAAGTTGGTGGTTGACCTAACAAACGATGCAGAATTGGAGAATAGAGATAGAATGATGAAAAGTGGTCTTCATGTCCTCCAGCAGTCTAAGCCTATAGCAGAGTAACTATAGAGATAGCTCAGATAACCTGAGCTCTAACTATACGCTTTGATTGAAAAGGAAGGTTTTAACCTTCTCTTAGAAGTATTCAGGGTGTTTGCCTCACAGGGGAGCAGCCTGATAATTAAAATACACTGAAAAAATAATGCATTTGCCTTTGGCATTTAATTAATCATATTTAGCTACTATAACACAATTGTTTTATGTCCTACACCGCTAAGATGAAACAATTGTTAAAGTAAATAAATTTGAATAAGTAAATGCCAAATACAGTTGCATTATATTTTTCAGTGTATCTGCTTCCAGGAACCACAGGTAAACCTGCAGATTGAGAGTCAATTGCTCTGTTGGGAACAATCAGAGGCTCTGATAAAAGATGCAGTTTGGCTACTAAGGAACGTCTACTTGTCTAGAGTTGTCAGCGTCAACAGAATAATAGTTAAAAGTATCAGAAAAGGAACACAGGATTATAATAAATCCAGGTAATGGTGCATTAACTTGTTTTAACTGATCTCTTTCAGAACTACATCTCAATGAAGATTGTGAAGCCACTTCAATAACTCTACAGTGGAAGTCGTTCCAACTCCTATTCAGAGAGCTTTGGTTCTTTTTCTTTTCTACAGTATTTTATTGTTGGGATAATAGCACCTGCATATTTACACTATTAAAATAATTAAATGTTTATTGTATCTAGACAACTTCAATGTGAAACAGATGGGACTGCTGTTAACATTTCACACTAAAATGATCTAAAACCACAGACTGGTGATAATCTGTTTTTTAGGGTCACAGGTTCTGCACTGGATCACTCCTGTCAACATGTCTCTGTTCACTATCACTATTTAGACTTTTAAGGTCATTTGATTTGTACTGGGTTCTTTACCAGGTGGCTTTATGATTATTTTTTTCTATGTTGTGCCAATCTATATATTCATGTATTTGCCGTTCTTTTTTGTACAAGGGATATTACATCAAACTGATTAAAAAATGTTTTTTTTAAAGAAATATTTATAGAGGATCCATTTGTCATCAGTGCCAATAGGCTCTGTAGCACATCATTTGCACATGAATGTAAAACAGTCTTGGAGGAAAATTACAATAAAGATCCTGCAAGTTTCAAATGAAATCTGTATTTATTTTCCATACATTTACAGCAGAGGAGAAAATCACAGCCAATACATAATTTGTTCAGAATATATTTAATTGTACCAAACATGTAAAGATGCTAGAGGATAGACTGGAGATGATTTCAATCACAGCAGCTAGTTTTACATGCTGATTAAAAAATATATATATATTTTTGATGCAGTCAGGCTTTTCTAAAAGCTTTAAATCTTGTGAGCAAAACAGAGTTATTTAGTGATTCTGATGAGCATCAGAAATAAATGGAACAATGAGAAAAAAATAGATTAGGGATGGTTTTAAATGTTTGTTCCATGTGCTTAAATATTGAATGCACATCTTTAAGGAAACCCCAACTAAAATGGAGAACAGAGGTCGAATCCTATGGGTCTTCTGTACCAGATGCAATATTCTTTTTCTCACAGTCGCTGACAGAAAAACTGATTAGTACATGGGTTTTACGATTTGTTAAATGGCAAAAGCAAATGTGCGCAACACTCACCAGTTTATTTTTAAATGTATCTAGTAGTGTCAGCAGGGGATACACCATGTGTCTGAACTGCACCTTGATTTTACTAAGAACTAATTACCGATGTATCGGCGCAATTTCTGAGCTCACCGAGCTGCTAGGTCTCCGACATAAATGCAGCAAACCAATACATTTTTACTCCATGAAAAATGGCTCCTACATCCTTACTATTCTTTAGAAACAGCTGGCTGTCTTTGACATGCATTGAGGAACCATAAGAATCTGAGTCTGTATTCAAAATAGAAACATAATACAAATATTTACTTCTTAAAATTGACATTTAGCAGTTCATTGTTTTACAAACAATATTTGCATAAATGGACAATAGGGCATTTATGATAAATTAAAACATCTATAATAAAAACATTTGTATTGCAGGAATAATTTCATGCAAAACATTATAGAAGCAATCCATCAATGGAACTCTAAGGGGGAAAAAATACACAAATCGAAATGACAGCATTCTCAATCCCCTTAATAATAAAACAATTTAGAACTGATCAAGGTTTCAACAAATGTCTTATTAGTAATTCCTGAATGTGTACCTGGTTAGTGAATCAGTGTTGAACTCATCAAGTTTGCATGTTTTTAGACACAAACTTTTACAAAAGCAGTACCTTTAGAAATATATGGTCAACTCTACAGTAGGTGACACTGACAAAAAGAAATCAAGGGGTTTTAAACAACGGAATTGTTCACTAGACACACACACCTTCTCCAACAGTCGTGTCGAGTCCCAATACAAATCATAGAAATCCGATGAAGTGAAGACTCGGGACTATCTAAGAATGCTGTAAAAATAATCTGTGCGCCAAACTTGTGAAATATTTTGGACAGGAGCACACCTTTGTGAGCAGCAGGTTCAGTAGTTTTAACGACAGCGGTATTAACAATAGTGCTATTACATTTTTTAAAGACATTTAATCAAAACAAGATTTTTATTTGTATCTTGTCATCTCTGTGAGATGACAAGATAAAGATGATTTTATTTTAAGGATTTTTAAACATTGTCAGAGATGCTAACATTTGTCAAGGTCTGCATGTCACCTTTAAGGTGCGTCACCATCCTTTATGGTTGCTGTTTCTGTTCTTCCAGTGATTGGAAGCTGAGTTTACTCTTCTTCTGCTCTGTGATGCTCGCAGTGCTGCCTTAGTAAAGCCTCCACCTCCTCTCTCCTTGCCAGGCTGTTTGCTTTGCCTTGGAAACGCCCGTTCTTCCCTGCACCTTTTCCTTGAAGCAACTCTAAAACCCTGAAGAGCACAGAGACATCCTGTGTTCACCAGATGAAAATAAAAAAGATGGAGGATGTGTCTGAATCTCTTACCGTGGTCCTAATTCAGCCACCTGTCCACTGGGTCCAGCGAGGAGAAACAACCCAGGTCCCTTTTCATCTCCAACAGTGAGGAAAACAAGAGTTTCCTTGAAGCAAGTAAAACAATTATTCCAGGACTCATCATGAGCCAAACGTAGAACAGTCAGACAGTGATCTTACCTCTGTGTTCAGTTCATTGGCAATGATGTTCATGAACTCATTGTCACCCTCTTTTCTGTAATTAGATGATGTTAAACTATTGTCAGTGACAAAGATGCATGGTAAAATTAGTCATAACTACAAACTTCCTTTTTGTCAAAGATTTTCCTGCAGTTAAAGCCACCTTATTATCTGAACACCTTCCCTGATCCTGGGAAATGTCTCAATAAGATGTCAACGCTAACATGTTTAGTGGGCATGGGAAGGTGCTAACAAGACGACCTTCGTCCATCTCTGCCGTCTCTCCCTCATGGCTTGTTGAAAGCTTTCCATGCAGTAGTAGCCATTCAAAATTTCCCCACTTTCCTTGATGGACCCTTGGTTGTTCCCCTACAATTCCTTTTTAAACATCAATGGTTGTACTAAAATATTCTTCTTGTCATGATTTGTGGACATTGTGATCTAAGGAGAAGCGCCATCTCCTGGTCAGATCCTGTAATTCACTGAAAGGGTGGAGTCAGAGCAGGGTCGGACTGGGAATGATTTTCAGCCCTATTTTTTCATCTACACGGGCCCAAAATCCCGCCCCGGAAAAAAAAATAGAAGCACAGTCATGTTTCACATCTAAAATGTGAAACACATTGTGGATTAACCGATCTATCTTGAAGTATCACACGACAACCATCACCAAGACTTCTATAACGCGGTTTCACTGGCTTTGGTTATAAACACGGACAAGACAGTTACTGCTGCTCCATAACCTCCAAACTTGCACGAAGTGTGAAAAGCCCTTTGGGCAAGTGGCTTTCACATTTCATTTGCTCAGAAACAATTTTTACTTGCCCAGTATAATGTTTGATAAATATAGTTCCTAATATTCATTTTTGTATATATGTCAATGAAACATGTTTGTTTTTTAAATGTTTTTTGTAATTCAGTAGTTTCCAGGTTCCTGGTGTGTATCTGCATGCGTCAGATAATGAACTCAAGCCTACATTACCGAGTTAACATGCTTTTCAATCCTTCCTCACATTCTTTTCAAACTAAACTTTGCTTTAAACTGTTGTGTTCTTGGAAAAATATAAATTGTAATGTTAAAAATCTAAAAGAAAAAACTTGACAGCTTAAAAACTTACACTACTACTACTCACCAATTGAACATGCTTAGCTCTATAACATTTAAATGCACCTCTCCAATGTCTAAGAGAAAAAAATTTTATGAAAATTTTTTAATATATGACCGCTGTACAGAAGACTGCCATATGATAGAAATATTTACACTGTGCATACAGTTATTATTATTTTCCTAATCCCTGACTGATCATTTTTAATCTAGCGTGTATTATAGTATAGATTAAATTCATCATCCAGCTGCTGGTCTGCAGAATTCTCCAGAATTCAGAATTCCCCAAGAGCTGAATCACGCCATCTAGCAGAAAATCACAAGGCTTTTTCAAATCACGCGAGAATGTGTACAAAACAACAAAAATGGTGCCCACAGCGCTTGTGGGTCATTTTCAGCGAATATCTGATTTTAAAGTAATTTTGAGTGATAAATAATTTTTTTTGCGATGATTGCTCTTGCCCGGCGGGCAAATGCAATGAAATTTGTACTCTCCCGACAACAAAAACTACTTGGCCTGGGCGATCGGGCGAAGGTTAACATTGAGCCCTGCAGAGGCAGACAGGCAGTTCTTCAAGAATGAATCCATGAAATCTCAGTGGTGTGTCAGCGTTCACTGCCAGTCTAGGTGGCATGTGGGCAACGAAATGGAATAATGTAAACAGATGAAAAACCCCATCATTCCACGCAACATATTTTTGCAATATATTCTAGCATAAATTCGCCAAATATAAGAGGAACATGGTAGTTTGACTTAAAGAAAGCATTTTAGTTTTATTATAATTTAGTTTGTTGCAAGGATTTTACAGTTTGAAGAAATAGAAAATACACCATATGCCAACTGTCACAAGGATGCACATGACAAGGAAGGACTATACATACTGCATGCATCAATTAGATAGTTAACATTGTATTACTTCTTGAACTCCTTGAGTTACTTATTGTCACAGGTAGGAGCTTCGGCCGGAGAAGGAGAGGAAATGTTGGGGCCGGTATGATTCAAGGAGGGCCGGCCAACCAGGCAAATGCCCGGTATCACAGATTACCAGTCCGAGCCTGAGTCAAAATAAAAAAATATGCACACCCAGGAGAAGGAGGGGGGTCACTCCAATGGCTGGAAGTTGGAGGGGATTTTGCTGGGAGTTGCAGGGAAGTGGGCAGCTGTTCAGCTGCTGTTTTACTGGGAAGGACCATTTNACATTGTGATCTAAGGAGAAGCGCCATCTCCTGGTCAGATCCTGTAATTCACTGAAAGGGTGGAGTCAGAGCAGGGTCGGACTGGGAAAGATTTTCAGCCCTATTTTTTCATCTACACGGGCCCACAATCCCGCCCCCCCATCCCGAAAAATGTGAAACACAATACGAATATATATTGTGGATTAACCGATCTATCTTGAAGCATCACACGACAACCATCACCAAGACTTCTTTAACGCGGTTTCACTGGCTTTGGTTATTAACACGGACACAACAGTTACTGCTGCTGCATAACGTCCAAACTTGCATGAAGCCAGCCAGACACCCACTTACACATACTAGGTCTACAACGTGAGCCCGAGTGTTGTAAAAACACCACCATAAAACAATACAATATAGAGGCAGACAGGCAGTTCTTCAAGAGTGAATCCATGAAATCTCAGTGGTGTGTCAGCGTTCGCTGCCAGTCTAGGTGGCATGTGGGCAACGAAATGGAATAATGTAAACAGATGCAAAACCCCATCATGCACCGAAACATATTTTTGCATTATATTCTAGCATAACTTTGCCAAATATAAGAGGAACATGGTAGTTTGGCTTAAAGAAAGCATTTTAGTTTTATTATTATTTAGTTTGTTGCAAGGATTTTACAGTTTGAAGAAAGAAAATACACCATA